AAACCAAAAACCCCCCCCCCCCCCCCCCCCCCCCAAAAAAAAAAAAAACAAACTTAAAAACCCACCACTGCAGGCCCCATTATTATCAGGAAAAAAATGCTATCTTCAGATTACCTCCAGTCTTTACTGGCACCTACTCCTTGTCAACAGAGTGAAGTTAAGCTTAAACACAGTCTAGTACTTTCCTCATTTCCAGAGTTTCAGCTCTGCTGGGACTTTTAAGTGCTCCAGTGTTGCCCTTAGGATATTTTTTCAGCATTACTACTTTATACCATCCATGGACCTGAATTAGATGATTAGATTCACCTGATATCTGAATTCCAACGGACCAACAAGATGAACCATGTACCTCTAAATAATACAGTACCTTGCTTCAGCTAGTGAATGCAAGATTTTTTAAAGGGTATGCTTCTCCACACTGATGAACCTATACTCGCCAAGTTTTTCATGTTTTCATGCTTTTGCTCTGCAGCATTGCTCCATTTCGTCTTCTTATTTCTATTTGAGAATCTTCTATTCCATTTTTACCCCGGTCTAAACTCTCTCTACACATTGTTTTTGCCCTCTCCTCCTCAATCCATTAGCTACAGAATCATATTTACCTTCATAGCTGAAACCAATTCTCCCTTTACATTTCATGTGTCTTCTCCTTTTCATATCCTTCCATCAGCTCTAGCTCAAGTCCTGCTTTTATTCAATGCAAATAATTTCCTTCTCATTACCACAATTCCAGAAAGGATGTTATTAGGAATACAAGATAACTTCCTGCTTTCAGACTGAAGGGTGCATTGACACAGAAAGCCTTGCTGGTATGTAAGTCTTCTTGATGTGCATGCAACTCTGAGTTTTTATCTATAAATATGTAACAGTGTTAACTCAATAATTATAAATTATACAAACATTTTTCATGTGGCCTTCTTTGCATCAAGAAAGGAACAATAGCTAACAGAGATACGTCAACAATACATAATGTGCAGTCAAACTAATTTCAGCTTTAACAGGACAAAAGGTCTTGTGGATAGGGGACGCAAAACAAATAATAGCACTTGAATTTATTAAGGATTTGGACTCTATCCAGTATTTCATTTCATTAAGAAGTTAGGAAAAAATGATATAGTTAGAAAGGAAACTATGAAATGGGTGCAAAACTAGTATGACAACAGTATTCGTGGGGTGGTAACAAGGTCAAATTGGAGATACACATCAAACAGGATTCCACTGGGGACCATCCTGGATTCAATATAATTCAGCATTTTGTTTTAGGATTTGCATGTTGAGATAGAGACTGCAGATGGTAAAGCTGGGATAGAATATTTACAAGAAGTTAGAGATCAATATTAGAAGTCAAAATCTTCCCAATAACTTGGCGAAATAGTCTGAAAAGTAGATGCAATTCAGTGAAGACAAGTTCAAATCTTTCTGCTTTAGGCAGGAATAACAAACAGCACGAATGCAGAGAGGAGGGGAATGACAATGCAGCAGTTCTGCTGAAAATAATTTTGAGATCGGGGAGGCATTGTATACCATAACTCAACAACAAAAAAAGTAAAAACAAGGTAAAAAAGGTAAACATCATACTACAGCATGTACACAAAATCATCTGTAAGACTAAGGAAACAATGCTTCCACTCCATCTGATACTGGTACAGTACCAGATAGCTAAATCAGCTAAAATACTGCATTCCACTTTGGGGACTATGTTTCTAAGAAAGATGCAGACCACATGAAGAGAAGGGTAGACGACAGCAGAAGAAATGATCAGATATCTAGAAAGCATAGTCTGAAGAGAAAGCCTGAATCAACTAAAATAGTTTTGCATAGGCAAAAATAAAGCCAAGAAGACACATGTTCAAACAAATATGTAGCAGGTAAACAGCAGTACTTCATCTCTACTGTGAACAGGGTAATAGGTCATGGACTTAAAAGTGAAGAACAGGAAATTTAGACAAGATACGAGAAAAAATTTGCTTAAGGTAAAGATAGGTACACACTTGAAACAGAATGCTTGGAGAGGTTATAAAATGAACAGATTTTAGAGAGCGCACAGGACATGCATTTATCAGAAACATTTCAGATCCTCCTGAGCCTTCATTTTGGAAGAGGAGTTATCTAGATGAGATCCTCTCAAAATGCCTTCCATTTCTGTTTTCTAAGGCTTCTCTCAGACCTGATACTGAATGGATCAATAGATAATATAAAGCAATTATTATATGGGTCATTGAGATGACAGATCATAATAGAATTACATAATGTACTGCAATTACTAACAGATTGCATATGCATTAATGTCACCTTTTATGTCAATGCATTGTATGACAGTCAAGGTATAAATGATTTGGGAAAACCTATTACTATCACAAAAAACGTTCTTAGCAAACCATAGCAAGACAAACCATTTCCCCTTTCTTTGCATCAAATACTCAAGGACCTGACAGATCTGCAACGACACAGTCAATAGCAAGACCATAAACTTTAGAACCAAATTCACTTGGTAATATAGAACATAGCAAGTCCAACAGGAAGCCATCTAAATACAGTATTTGGGTAAAAAAGCGCCTGTATCCATTCCATGCCGAAACTGAATATTTATACATAGATGGGTGTGTGTGTGTGGGGGTGTGTGTGTGGGGGTGTGTGTGTGTGCATGCACATGTATTTGTATGCTACAGTCCATCAGTGTCACATAACAAACAAAATGCTATGGATAGCTTCTGTTCATAAACCTAGAAAGCACTTTTTCTTTCAGTAGAACAAACCCTTAATCTAGTTTCAAGGAGTTGTAAGAGACAGCTCCTGTGATTCACCTCCCCCCCCCTCCCCGAAGCATTGCTTGTTAATCCAGCAGGAAATAACATTTGCCAGGATTGACAGCTGTGGATTTGTATTCAATTCCCAAATTAAAAGCCAATGACAGGGCCCAGTTCAACAGAGATGTAAAGCAAAATAAAGAAAGTAAAAAACCTGCAGCTTTCTCTGTAAAATTAATACATATGTATGGAATAATACTACTGCAGGGTGGGAAGGAGTTATAATGGGATTAAAGCTGTGTGAAAAATTTATCTTGATTTTTGTAATGATTGACATTCTATATTTTTCCTCTTTCATAGCAGGTTGTCCCCTTACCCCTAACCTGTTTCAATACATGTTAACATCTATTTCAGCAGATTTTTTAAGACCCTGGAATAAATGGCATGTTAAAACCTTCACAGTCAAACCGCAAACTCCCTACAATAATTACTGTCCAATTAACAAAATTGAATAGTTTATTGCCCTGATACTACAAAGAGATCTAATGGTGCAAACTGTCATGCTGCTGCAGAGCTCTGTCAATGGAAAATCAGAGTCCATCTTGGGCAGCTTCTCTTGTTAATCAGAATAATAACAATCAGAGATGGAAAAAGCCTGATACAGTAAAGCAGCACAGCTTCTGACAAAACATTTTCTAATACCATAACTAACTCTGCTCTTAAGAGCTCTATGAACTTTTTCTAACGCAGTTCAGACTCTAATAGTCTTTGAAACAAATCACAATAGTCTAATTCTTATTTGGAATTCCTTCCCACAATCATGAGTTGAGATGTAATTTGCTACATCTTTGTAAATACTCCTCTCACTTTCTGAAAATTACACCTTTCATATACTTCCATATGTCCTTTGCTTCTCCAACATGACTTAAAGAGGGAACATTAATTTATATTCAAGCCACTTCAGAAATCTATCCTTGGAACAATAAAGTGAGGAGTGTTAACTTACTGCTATTTACCTGTAAGAGGTGATCCTCCTTAGCTCTGTAACAGGAACACAATAGCCACACTCTTCTAAGACTTCTTCACATGCTATTTCTTCTAAAGAAAGGTCTGGTTTGTCTACAATGCCAGCACAGAGTTCATAGGTCACTCCTACTACAGCAGGTAAAGGATCTTCTAGACGACAGAAGTTCTCCTTGTCCTGATTCTGGAAGACTTGAGGACAATGCCTTTCTACTTCGCACATGTAAACAGCTTAAAAAAAAACACAAAAGGAAAAGAAACTATGGGTTTTTTTCCTGACTATACTCACAGTAAATGGAAAAAAAGACAGATCATGAGTTTTGCCTGGGAATTTATAACCATCAGAGCATCTGAGAGTGGCAAGGAAGTCAGCTATGTTGTCTATTAAAATTATGACACACTGAAATTGGAATTTTAGAAAACAAGGGTTTTCTTGCCATTTCTGCAGAATTATCCTTTAAACATTATTTCTACTTACATCATTTGGGATTAGTTCATGCACATTGTAAACAAAAAAAAAAAAAAAAAAAAAAAAAGAAAGGAAGTTCATTCAGAAGTCTACACCCATCCCAGAAGCTCCAAACAGCTTCCATTTGCTGGGCAATACGGATATCAGGATTTAATTTAAACTATGCAGTTATTTTGCAGGAAAACTGGGTTGTACATTATGTACCATGTGCACAATGATGAGTCTTTCAGCCTGTCAACTCAGCTGTTATTTAGAAAGGGTATGAAAAGAATGTATGTTTGTTTGAAAAAAAATCCTCTTTTGAACATATAGTTCTTTGCAGATTCCTGTGTGGAATTTGAAAAAGACTTTTTGAATTAATCTACAAACAGCTGCCACTGTAATGCAGTCCTAAATAAAGTGCAATCGACATATTTTAGTCCATACTTAAGCAAAACCTATCACTAATGTCAATGGAAGTTTTGCCTGAGTTAGACCTGAAGATTTCATTTAAATGCACAATGAATCACTATTGACAATTCTAGATCATTACAACTTTAATTTACAGGTATAATTCCATCTGTTTCTTCTTTGAAATTTCCTCATGTCTATTCTTGCTTTTAATGAAAAGTTACTGTAGTTACCAGAGAGTGTTATAAAACACTAAGAATAAAAACTATCTTATAATCTAAGATTATTCTTACCAGATTAAAATATTTTACATGCATACTTTATATGTGCATAACATGGTTTTCAAATGAGCTTATTTTCTATTTTCCATTCCAAACCTTATAGAACTGGTATATAAAAGAGCTTGAGTTTAAAGAAGAATTTTCTTCTTCAAGTTATTGGATTTTATCCATCATTTCTTTAGGGCCAGGGCCAGGGCCCGAAAGAAGTGTGGCAGCATAAAGGTAAACTGGCCTACTCTTAAGCACTTGGTCTCTAGGGAAGAATCTGTATCCCAAAATCTGGTGCCTAGGCTCCTGCTACAATGATTGTTGAGATACCTCAGAAATGTAGTGTTAGAAGATCAGCACACTGACTGCTGCTTAGAGCTGGCTAAAAAGAAACACAAAGTGCAGAAGTGCATCCAAAAAACTGTCCACAACTTAAAACTTTTAAAGCTATTGCCAGCAGATACATCTGGATGCTTAAGATGCAAACACTTAAGGAAAGGAGTCTGCATTTCTTATTTGAAAGGCTCACAGTTTTCTTTTAAAATGTGTTAAGGAGGAACAAAAATATTTCACGAAATATTTCAAAATATATCAAAAGTCTGAGGGACAGTTCCTTGGACGGTGTATATTGTCATAATTCTAAAAAAACTTATAAAAGCTGTTATAATTACCATAAATGACAACTAGCTTCAGGATCTCTCCTTGCTAAGCCAAATAAAAGACTCTTAAGAGTTTATTGGTTCATCAGTATTAACATCCCTCTACGAGTGAATAAAAAGGGGAGTAACATATGCATCCCAGTAAAGGACTTAGGCACCAAAAGAGGATGTAGGTAGACGGTAGGCACTGAAGCATGAAACTGTGATTAAAGTAACTCTCTGTTCAAAGCCTGCTGAATCCCTGAAACCCATCCTGTCATTCCAGCTGGCACCTGCCACTCTACTTGTCTCTCAGCACAACTGGGCTCCCTATAGATCAAACCCTGCCTTCCCAGAAGGACACAATCCAGCAATCCTGTTCAGAGCATACCCTGGCATACACCTACACTCAAAGCACACTACTTAGCTTCTCAAGAAAAGAAAAGGTACCAGCCATTTCTGTCCAACAATTAGAATTTTCACCGAGGAATCAGAATATAAATTCACTGACTCTCACCAGGCTGGGGAAGGTTCACACTCACAGAGTTCATGAATTAGGAAAACCTAGAAAACCAAGCTGCACGTTAGTATCGGGGAACAGAAGGGTCCCCCACACCTCTCCTGAAACTGCAAAAATTGAATGCAAGAGTGATGAGCCAGAGGAGATAAAAGTAATGGACGGAATATGAGTCTGTGGCATATTGGCTACAGCACGCTCTTCAGATGGAAACCTGTGACTCTCTTCCTTCTCCCAGAACTATTTCTGTTGTCAGCTTACTTCAAATGCATAAACAGTTTTGAGAGCAGACACTAGAAACAAGAATTCATCTCCCAGCAGAAAAATCCACCCCTAGACATGTGCCTGACTGCTCTCTTGTCTTCCACGGCTTATGCTACTTTGGTTAGAAACGGCCACTTCATCACAGGGCAATCTCTTTCATCATTAGATGTACACCAGTGATGAGCAGCAGTGCAACGAGGACTCAGACAACCATGTAGGGCTCATTAAGAATCCTGATTAATTACCCAAGAGCCACTCCGCTATAAGGAATCACAGAGCAGAGACTCCAGTAGAACTGATGTACACGAACGTCCTTCTGCATAGCTGAGACAAAGGTAAGACAGAATTAGTCAAATCAGATGATAACTGTTATTCAAAGCAGCCTTTTCAGGTGGTTCTCACAGAGCGACTCATTTGCTCTCCCTGAAGACAAGGCGACAACAGTATGGACTTGGAGAGGTAACTGGGATCTAGCTGACTGGGGAACACACTAGTTTCTGTTTAAACTTTTGATTTCTCTTTGATTGCACCACTGTTTAGTACCTCCTGAAACAAAACACGGCTTAAGACTCAAATCTTTGATGCTGTTTATTTTGAGTCAATGAAAAAGCAAACACCACAATCCACTGAATGGCCATTATATTTATAGTGAAAAAAATAGGGTAAATGTTTATAGGTACCAAAGCTAGCCTTCCCCAGGAAAATGTTATTCAATTATATTTGAAAATGTGTGCTCAAAAATTGATTACCAAAATGAGCACTGCCCAGGACCTAGGCTACTAAGTCATGTGTGAGAATCTGGTATGGAAACTACTGAGATATGCACATGTAATTTTTCATTCTCTGGCTGCTCTTTCCAAATGTATGATTTTATTATCATTCAAGATAACCTAAGTCCACAGTGCCACCACAAAGCATGGTTCTATCTTCTGCCTCACCCCACATGTACGCTTCTGCCATCCTTTCAAGCCAGCACAGACTTTCTATGACCTGTCGGATCAGCTGGCTAACCTGCATAAAAAATCATCTGTTTCAGCCACATCAGACCTCTGCTGTGGCTGCACAAGGGCTTGCACTGTCAAAGCAGATGGTATGGAAACATATGTACGACGAGAGACTGCTGCCTTCAGAAGCAGCACAGACTTAAATGGGTAAAAATTGACCACAAAACCACACCCTGAGGAAAGGCAAGCACATATGTCAACAACCACACGTGCTGGGGACATGCCTGGTGACTGAGCTGAAGCTGTTTGCTCACAAATGAAGAGCTGTGTTATTGTCTTCCTGGTGGGATCCTGATAAAAGCGAAGAACAAGAAAAGTCTCAGCTTTAATTTTTGGTCTGTGGAAACACCAAGCAAACAATAACCAGGTAATGGAAATACAGTTACAGCAATATGAGTAATGTACGGGCATGGTTGCAATCACTGAGCTGTTATGCGACGTCTGACTGACCACTAGTCCCTAAAGCCAGCCTTCTGAACAGTTCCAGCCTCTTTTGAGGCAGAGTCCTCTAGCAGGTTTGGCACTTCCATGGACATGATATAACGGACGTGTTTGTTTTACTGTAAGACCTATATCCCATGTTTTGCATTCTTCCACCCCCTCCCCATAATCTAAGCGTATGTCCTTAACAGAAAAAATAATAATGGTTATTTTTACAGGTTTTCATTCATACGTTTGTCTTTGGTTTTCATAAAGAAAAGTTTACATCGTACACTGCTTTGTGTCCTCACAACACCGGGGAGTATTTCACAGTCCAGTATTAATCAATATATATAATACATGTGTGTGTGAAAGCCTCTGCAGTTAACCGCCTAAGACTGCCTCAAAGAGAGCAAAAGCTATACAAGCCATTTTATTTGGCTGGCAAATAAAAATGTATTATCAATAAATAGATAAACAAACTCTTTCTCCCTACAATAGGCAACATAGTGCTGCATGGGAAACATGAACTATCTATGTAACAGTGCTGCACAACACTAAACAGCCTGTCAATCATTACTGGTAAGGACAGCATGACACTACCCTAGACAGTTTCTAATAAAGTCTACCACAAACAGTCTTGAAATGGTCTCTTAGCAACAGTCAGTGAAATATCTGGTAATTTTTTAAATTAACATGCAGAAGATACATATTTCATGTTTAACCTCAAAAAGTAAATAATACTGTGAATCAAAATAACAGATACAAAAAGTTAAAAAAAATCTTAAATTCATAATCTATGGTAAAACAAAACTCTCCATGGACTGATGAAATCAAATATACGTGGTCCTGAGCTTTTCTTATTTAAATTCCCAAGTATATAATGCACAATAATACATAAACTACTTTTTTTTTTTTTTTTTTAAAGAAGACTTTTGTGCTTGGGTGCATAAGCTGCCCACTGAATACTAGATACGTCAAGATGAAACTTCAAATACAAGCATGCTCATTATAGACCTGTTTGCAATTTCATCAAAAAGAGGGCAATGACTAACCCCAAAAGCAGAACATGAGGCTACCCTGGTCATTTGTTTCATCTGTAATGGAAATTTCCTTAGTTAGAAATTCTGGCCTACTGAAAAGAGTGGGCTATAGCACAAAGAAAGAGAATATGGAACAAAGATTTTGTCACCACGGATGCACCAACTTTTAACTGCTAAACCCTTAATAGCTTGCTTCACTAGAGAGCAAAAGTAAATCTAAAAAAGAGGATTACCTGGGCGGAACTGCTTCACCACAACAAAGCACTGCCGAGAAGTATTAAAGATCAGGATTGACACACTAAGGGAGAAGATAAAAAACAAAGATCAATGCTTTATGAAGGATTAATGCAGCACTATTAAACTTACATCTTGTGAATTTTATTTTAACTACATAAATACATAGGAGATTTATTACTAAAGCCACAGTGCAACAAGATACTTGTCCAAAATCCATCAAGAGTAATAGGCAATCGGCCATGTTGCCAAAGTCTAAGAGAACTCATCTAAAATTGAGTCACTTTTTTCTCTTTCCATGCAAACAAAGTAATCCAACAATCAATTCCTTTGCCCCAAAAGAAAAAAAATCCACACCAACTCTATGGACATGGACAGTAATAAAATGAAAAAAACCGTTAAAATAAAAATATTTTCTTCCCTCATACCAGTTTCAGATTAGGACAGTCAAACTCTTAGGCACAATCTAGTCCCAATCGCAACCAGAGACTTCCTTGTGCATAAGCACAGAGCATCTCCTATTCATGGCCAACTCCTGAGCTTGAGCCTTAAAACAGACACTATCCAAGTCTAAATCTGTACACATTCATATTAGAAGCAGTTTTACCTGCTATCACATCTTGTGGCTTAAAAATCACATTTTAATCTTTCTCCCATCCCCCTGGCTGTTTGAGAGGCATGTCATAGGAAAACCTGACAGTATTCAAAGATGCTCAAAAACCGCAGAGTTCTCATTTTCCCCACTCTCTCTTTCAGTTAAATTATTCCTCGATTTTACTTGGTTAAAAAAAAAAAAAAAAGGCTGAAAAAAGTCTGTCTCCTAGGCTGGCATCCTATAAAAACCCACAAAACAAGCGTAGATCATGCTTATTACCACGGTAGCATTCTCTCATTTGTTATGCCTCACTGTATGCAGTCGGAAAGTTCATTCATTATTCTATGAATTCTACAACAGATTAGACTAACAATCGCATATTTGCAGAGTTCAGTCAAACTCTCAACTTTCTTTGTAAGAGAGATGTATATTTATTTTCACTATTTGATTTAATTATAAAGTCTCACAGGCTGCCAGAGAAACTGCTATTTGATGATTATTAAAAATAATATTAATGTTTATTGTAATATATAAAGACCAAAACAGAAGGGAGAAGTCCAGATGTTAACATTTATATTCATAGTTGCTATTCTCAAAGACCCATACTGCATACTAACAGCTTCCTGCCCCAGGAGATATCATTTGAAGGCAATTTTAAAGCAAAGGTTTTAGCCTTCAGAGATATTGGAGGTGAATATTCATTCTATTTACATATACAGAGGTTCTTTCTGATGAGTAGAGTATCTGGGAGTTGCAGTGTGGGTTGTGAGCTGAAATTAAATCAGAGCCTAAAATGTGTTTCAGGTTACTTAAGTATTAATCTTTGATCCTTTTCAATTTTTTTTTCTATATGTAACTGTTGCGTTCCCCAAAGTGGTAACGTCTGAGGGCAGACAAAGCACTAAAAATAAGGTGAAAAGGAATTACTGCTACTGAATTTTTTTTATTATTATTTTAAATTTAACTGTAGATAATAAATAAAATACCTGAAATCAGAGATAGCAGCAGTTGAAAGCTAAAGTTACAGGGATTGGCAGCAACTTCCTGAAGGACACACATGCCTTTCACCTTTCTTTATGCCTGTCGCTCCAGGTCTAGTCTTTCCTTTGGCTTGCCTTCTTCAGCATGTCTCATTAAATAACTCATACCAACTCATTAAAAATGTCTCAGCTATTAGACATTATTTTTTCCTAGGAGTCAATCACTTGAGATTCGTATGGAACAGATGGGAAAATTAAAAACAATCTGTCAGAATTAAGGAACAAGATCAAATTAAGCTGGAAAGGAGTAGCAGCAAGTTATTACAATTGTCTGCTTCTCACACCATCTTGAGATGAGAGGGTACAGAAATGACACAAATCTGTGGAACTTTCTATTTAATTTCTTCTAATTTTCTGAGAGACTGGCAAACAATTTTGAGCATAAATTTACATTTTTTAACAAGGGACAACACGCACGTTCTAATACTTCCTATCAGAACTGGAGAGTCACAGAGAAGAAACTTCAAATTTAAACCCTCTTAAGATGAGTGTTAGGCTACAAATGCAATGTGGTATTTTTTTATTCTGCAAAAAAACAGAGGAGCATGAAATATTTTCATAGGTGATGAGATTTATAACTTGTAAAAACCCTCCAAGACTGCATTGATTACAGGTATTTCAATATTGGAGTAATCTAGGGCAAGACTGCTCAATTAGATCTCAGTGTAGGATCCCCTGAGTCACTGCTTTCAATGGGGTTCCTTATTGCTGCAACAGCCCAAATATGTGGGTTCAGTTGTTTGATCTGGCCTATGAGATAAGGACAGCATACTGCAAGTCTTTGTCTTCTAGAGTATTAAATCATCATGTAAAAGATTTATTACACATTTTTTCAAGATTACTATTTTCACAGACTTTACAGACCGTCGAACCTGATTATCTACTGTAAAGGCAGAGTTGCCAATGCATCCTTCAATAGTAACATACCACAGAATATTACATATGTATTTGATGTTTCAAGGTGATGTAAAAATATTACAATGAATCATATTTTAAAGAATTATACATATACACACATTAAGGTGATCAATAAAAAGTAAAAATATAAGATAAACAATTAAAACATTCACAGTGAATATTGGGAATGTCTCTGGAAGTAAAAGATATAGAAGATCAACCTAGCCCAAGTTAGACATTATCAGAATAATTACACAGAACCACTGAAAAGAAAAAAAAAAAAAAAAGTAGACTTTCCCAAAAAGGTACGAATCCTGGACAAGAATTTAATCTGACATTGACATCAAGCCTCCTAACCTAACAATAGCATTCATGCACACATGTCTCAAAGAAGTGCATAGGGCTGATTTCTTGTTGTTTTTTACAGAGGAAAACTCGCTCTGATGAAACAGGATGATGCTGGCCCAAAACTTGCCTTCGCACCTTAAAAACAAGCTACAACATGTCTGCATAAATGAAACACTACCCCAATTTAGACCTGCCAACCTTATCTTTCTGGGTGGTAGACTGCTACTTCCACCATAATCCACCACTGATTATCTATCTTTGCCTGCTATTCCTCCAACATCTGGCAAATAGGAAAACAGAAGGAACAGGTCACTCATGTAAATGCAATACCACTAAGCTACAGACTTGCACCTGGGACTCACGGAGCGCACAGCACAACCCTTGCACACAGCTACCACTTTCAGCACTTGCCACTGTTGAGGGCTTCCTAGCTCTGCAGGCAGGAGGTGGCCAGGGAGAAAACGCTTCAATACGTGCTCTATGTGTCATTCAGTAGTTACAATTTGCTTCTGCAAAAAACCCTGGGACTACAACAAAAGAAAACATATTAGGAGATGATACGGGCTGGTACCGAATCTTCCAGGGACAATGGAGATCACAGGCCTGCTCTGCCTTCAGCCCAACCCCTCCCTCAGCTTCCTCCTGAAGTTGTATACACACAATAAATCACCACTCCAATTATGGAAGACTTTTTCCCCAAGGAAAGCCAGGATGTAAGCAGGTTACTGTGCATTAATGTAGGATACCATTCTGTCTTTCTATAAATATATAAACAATTAGGGCAGCTTTGAACGGTTTTAAGGAAGAATCATGCCTAAAATGTCAGTAAGACATCTACAAAGACCAGCTAGCCTGTACTTGAGCTTTTACTGTATACTCAGGTTTCCGGTTAAAGTGTGCCTGGTCTTGGTATTCGACATTTTCTTAAAGAGACACCAAAAAGATGACTTTCTAATGCTTTTTAAGTACTATTCAGTCAAAGATCTCACATAATTATTAATCATTTAGACTCAACAAAAAAATACTCCAAAAACCTGACTGAAATAGGCTGGTATTAGGCTTCTACAATGGAAGTAAGGTTCCCTAAGATGTGTAGGTCACAGGGTAGAAATTACATACACCTGACCCACGGCCATCTACAACACGGGAATCTAGAATCTTAATTCCTCTCTCAGCTTTAAGACTCACATTAAAAGAGAAGATATTCACCCGAATTCATCCTTCATAGACCAAAATATCTTTTAAAAAGTTTAGAAAATAACTAACTAAAATGAAAACTGACATCCTGTTAAAAAGTTTGCATTTATATAGAGGACAAAGTTAATTCTTTTGAAGTATCTTCTAGCAGTTAAATCAGCTTTGCCAAAGCTACAAGAATTCATGCTTCTAAAGCTGCAATACTCCAAGGAGCTTTCTTGCTTTGTTTGTTTTTTTTCTCTGAGGTTTTGGTTGTTCGTAAGTTTTTATTTGTTTGTTTTTGTCTTTTTGGGTAGAAACAGAATTTCACCTTGTAGTCACTGGCTTGGTAATCTTCTGTCTTGATGATTTGTCAGTTGTTGACCTCGGCTACAGTTAATCCACAAGCAACTGCTAACACTTACTAATTGCTTTTCATGAGACAGAAACAAACTTTAAAAATCCTGTAATAAATAAAGGTTAACTTGGCCTTTCATTACTCCTAGATATGACCTTAATGCATATTTTACAAACGTGTGGTTGCAAAAAACACATTGCAGTACAGTAATAGCAAAGAAAAGAACAAGATTCTCTTGTGTTTCTGTGAATGAAATAAGACTCTCAAGGCTGGAGACAAGGCTTTTCAAAGATAATCTTGCACTAATACTATAGTATGCTAAGTAATTGATGAGGTAATAAGGGCAAAGAAACTGACCTTTCTTTAATCATTGTAAGAGCAACGCAGTATCTTCTTGTGTAGATGTCTAGCAAAAGTACGTGTATGTCATACACACAAACTCTGATCAGAATGGAATAATAGAAGATAAAGCACCTAAAAAGGCTGCCCCCACTTTCAAAGCCAGGACTTTCCAGTTGTTAACCTCAACCACTTCCATCTACCCTTACAGGCTAAGAATTATTTCATTATTAGTTGAAAGTCTGTAATATTCTTCGTGCCGCTTACAAATGATAATCTCAGCTCCACAGTGGAGGCTCTTGGAAGTAATG